CTGTCCCCTCCCGCTGTCCCCTCCGTCCCCTCCCTCTGTCCCCTCTGTCCCCTCCGCTCACCGCGCCCCTTGGCCTTGATCTCCTGGATGATGAAGGAGAAGTTGCCGCCGTGGCGGAACACCACGTCCATGACGGTCAGGTTGCTCAGGGTGCGCAGTTGGACGTACAAACCCTCGGCGGCGAAAAAATAGGGCCGATCGTCCACCCCCTCGTCCCAATAAACCAGCAGAGCCCGCCGGGTCCAGTTGAAGCGCCGGTGMAGCTGCACGCCCAGCTCGCCCAGTTTGCGGTGGCTTGGTCCGGCTCGGGTGGTCAGCCCGAACTCTTCGCTCTTGTCGTCGAAGCCGTGCGCTTCTGCCCCGGCCGTGACCAGCGGCAGCTGCCAGTGGCTAGTGAAACGGGCTACCGGCGCCGCGGAATAGACGCAGCCCGGCCCCAAAAACGCCGCGGGCTGGTGGGCGAGCCGCAGGTCCACGGCCACCAGCGGCGCGGCCATTTCCGAGCAGACCCCGTGGCGATCCTCGCTGTCGCCGAACACCCAGCCCAGGGTGAAGCCGGGCAGGAGATCCCGGCGAGCGTTCACGGCGGCCGCGGCCAAACGCACGGCCGGACCCACGCGCGGCCAAGCCCACGGGTAGGTGAGGTTGCGGCGGGGCAGAACCACGGCGAGGGTCAGCGGGGCCGGGGTGGTCACCGCGGCCGGGAGTTGGGCTAGCAGCGGGGCTAGCAGCGGGGCTAGCAGCGGGGCTAGCAGCGGGGCCAGCACCGCCAGCATCGCCCACGGACCGAGAGTGGCGTGTCCCCCGCCTCCCCCGCGGCGGGGCTGAGCCCTTGCTCGCCACCCCCACTGGTGACACAAAGGCCGTTATCATCCACACCGAGCTTAACTCCTTCCTGCCCGCTCCCCCCGCGCCGCTCCGGCCGGGATGGGCGGCGGACGCGGGGGGGAGGATATTTCCACTCGCGGGGCCGTGGGAAGGGGTTTGCGGTGTCCCCGCAATGTCCCCTCCGCCCGTCGGGTCCCGGCGGACGCCACCGGACAAATGCCACCGCTGACCCGGTCACCGTGGGGCGCGGGGAGCAGAGGAATGCGGCGGAATGCGGGGGACACCCCGAGGAACCGGCCACACTCTGTCCCCGCGGATCCGTGCGGGGCTCGGACAGCAATGTCACCCCACCTCCGGGGGAGGTTCTGCCCCGCGGAGGGGTCACGGCAGCTCCACGGGTGGGGGTTTATTCACCCCGGAGATGCCGCTCTGGGGACACTGCTGGGGACACTGCTGGGGACAGTGGCAGCGCTCGGGGGACACGCGCGGACGGGGACACGGGCAGAGCTGGGGACACGCGCGGACGGGGACGCGCACCGAGGGACGGAGTTGGGCGCGGGGACGCGGGCGGTGGTCCCACCGGGGGCGCGCGCAGGACTCGGGGACGCGCACGGGGCTCGGGTCTGGGTGGCACCCGCGACATCGCGACGCCGCCGCGCGGGGCGAGCCTGGAAAACCCTGACGGAGCGTTCGGAACTCGATGCGGGAAATAAAAATGGAAATCAGCGAAAATCCACCTTCGCCCAGGTGGGGTGGGAAGAATGTAAAATCTTGCGCTAGCAGAGGATGGTTTCGATCCATCGACCTCTGGGTTATGGGCCCAGCACGCTCCCGCTGCGCCACTCTGCTCCCGCGCTCCTTTTCCCGCCGGTGCCGTTATAACCCCGCGGCGCGCGCTCCATTCATGGAACCCGCGCCCCCTCCAGCGGCCGCCCGCCGCGCGCCGCCATTGGCCGCTTCCGGCGCTGATTGACGGGCCGCTCCACCAATGGCTGCCGGCGAAGCGCTCGCGGGGGGCGGGCACGGGCAGAGCGGCGGCCAATGGGAGCGCGGGTTGCTGCGGGGTCTGCGAGCGGCGCTTCAT